CCTGATCTGAAACACATCAAATTCAAAGTGAATTTTAATTTTAGTAGCCATTGCAACATAATCATTCATAACCAGGGGATGTGAGTTTCCCCTCCCACCTCCCTTTTATTTATTAGCTCTTAATTTCATTTTAAAGTTCTTTATCCTTTTTAGACATGAAGATCTTAACATTTTTTTAAGTCTGAAACTAAAGATACAGAGGAAAAGAACTTCCATGAAAATAAATTTTCACCAATGAAGAGTGTGGTGGCATTTTCCTGATTCAATTTTGTTCACTACAGCATTCCTGAGGTGTTTTAAACAGGCACTGCAGTGCAGTACTATTCTTGGCATGAGAATTGGATGCTATTATTTTGACCTTTTCTCCAAATTAACTGTAGAGTGCTGGTGAAGAGCCAACGTGGATCATTCATCCTCCCATGCATCCAGTGTGTGTCCAGGCTAACCTACCTACCAATATGCCAATAGAAACCTCTTGCAGTCTCAAAATGAACATTTGGCAGCTGTATCTTCTATGTCCCAGCTGCTTCTCCTGTTGAGGACCACAAAAATTTACATAGAATAGAAATTAGAGCAATTATTCTTTCCTCTTGATGGTGGTAAAACATGATACAAACTCTTTCCTTACTGAAAACCTAGAAGGAAGTCTGTTTTCTTTCACCCGTCCTGAAAGCGAGATTGAAGACTTGCAGCCTGTCTTCAACAAGCACTTGGCCAGAGGTGGGATGATGTGTGTTCATCTCCTAAGCAGCATCTGTGGTGCAGAGTGGACTAAAGAACATGACATAGTGGCAGGGGGATGTCAGAAGGAAACAAGTAAGCAGGTTTGAAAGAAACAGGAACTGTAGCATTCAAACCTTCCATTTTTGTAATGATGTTCAGATTAATAGAATCGTAGAAACATTCAGATTGGAAATGACCCTTAAGATCACAGAGTCCAACCTTAAACCTGACAGTACCATGTCCCTAACTGCCACGTGTACATGTGTTGAATAACTCCACAGATGGAAACTCAGCCACTTCAGAGAGTAGCCTGTTCCAGTGTTTGACGACCCTTTCAGTAAAGATTTTTTCCCAGATAACAAATTAAACCTTCCCTGGAGCAACTTGAGGCCATTTCCTCTCATCCTATCACACTTGAGAAGAGACTGACACCAGACCTGCCTGTAGTGGCTGGTTTATGCCACCATCCCTTGCAGCAGAGCTACTCTTCCCCATTACTTCCTTCGTGCTGGATGCTATGTTCTGCCCAGAGGGATATGCCAAGTGCTGGAGCTTATCTGGTGCTAGGAGTGCAAAACCAGGAAGGCTCAGAAAGCTGTGGCAGAGAGGAAGCAATGGTCTCCTGAAGGCTCTCCCTTTAGTCTGGAAAGCAGCAGTCACAGCCCTGGGGCAGGGCAGAGATGTGAGCTGGCCCAAATCCACGCAGCCCCTTCAAGGTTGTCTGCAAGGAGGGAGAGAAAGGTGTAGAGCAGGAGGGGAAACCCTGATCTTCTCAGCACCTACCCAGTGCTCCAGCTGGGTCAGGTGAAGTGTCTGGGACAGATTCTGCTGAGATGTCAGGGGACCATGGGGAAGGAACTTGTACGACCAAGGCCCTCAAGCCTGCACACTCTCCAGATACCATCAAGTTAGCGTAGGGTACCTGCAAGAGGTGGTCAGGGAAGACTGAGAAACTTGCTGGGAGTCTTCACCACTGCTAGAGTCCCTGGTGCTCTCATTGTGTCCACAGTCCTGGGACTGTCATCTACGGAACCTGCAGCACTGTGCAGCCAGGCAGAGGGAAGAGGAGCATTGGAAGGGGCTACCTTTGCTCAGAACCCACAGCTGCTGCTTTCCACCGCATGCTGGTAGAGCAAGCCAGAGTTCCTAATTGAGCCAGCATGCTTCTGTATGCATCCTGGACAAAATGCGTGGGCACAGAGACTGTGGCTGCTGAAAAGCAGCAATGTCAGGATCTGTCATAGGCATTCCCTGGTGACATTACAGGTGTGTCAGAGTTGCCGCTGACACCTGCCTAGCCAGGAAGGCAGATACCCCAGACGGAAAGCTTGCTTCACTGAGTGTTTCCCTTTTGAACTTCATTAAATTCCTCTCATCCCAATACTTCAGTCTTCCCAGGTCCTTTTGAATGCCATTGCAACCCTAAGATGTTTCAGCCACTGCTTCCTATTTTGTTATTATCTGTGAACTTGCTGATGGTGCACTTTCCTTGCTGTCTACCTCCTTAATAAAGTTCTTAAACAATACTGGTCCCAGTACTGACCCTGGATTACAGCAATGTTGACTGGCCTTTAAATGGACCTTGTTCTATTGATTACAATCTTCTGGTCCCGTGTTGTGTTACTGAAATAACACATTCTGTTTGAGGAAAGCTCTGTTTGTCTTCACCCTGTGCAGTCAGAATTGCAGTGTTTTACGCAGAATTGAAGCTTTGTGGTGACTTACTGAGGACTGCCTTTTTCTGTCTCTTCAGTTACAGCTTTCCTTTTGCAATTACTAAACAAAACCGTATTTAGATTAATATGTGATCCTAAACCAGTAACCTTTGGTTGCAAAACACGATAGTGGTAACATGCTGCACGCAGCTCTATGTTGTTGCACCACAGTAGCTCTGCAGCTTTGATGTCTTCCTTCTTTGGGAAGGTGGGAGAAGACCAGAAGGTCTATGCAACATGTAATTTGTCCTGAACTGTGTGAGCCTTGTTCATGTGGCTCATTCATTTCTCCCTGCTGCTCCTATTTTTCTTCACATATTCAGAGAACATCGCAGCTATTTCTCTACTGTTTCTTGACTCAAGCACAAGACTACCAGATCAGCTATGATCCACTGGTGGGCCAGGTCTGAATTAAGCAGTAGGCAGAGCCCTGCCTGCTGCAGAGCTGTCAGGGAACATGTCAGCCTGAAGCACCATGTGCCAAAAGGCCCCACGCCAAGATGCCCATTTCTCATTTACAGCTTTGCCCTATGGACCCTCACTTCTAACACGTCTTCCATAAGTCCTCTCCACCTGTGTTCATGTAACTCAGTTGCACGGTTTAGCCAGCTGCAAGCTGAGAGGTCTGTTAATCCCCTTCACATACATCCTAAGTTATTTAATGCTGATTCCACAGACTGCTGCATGACTTCCCTAAAACCATGTCCTTTGTTTAAGTGTGAAGGGCACATTGCTTTTACTATTATGTATGTAATGTTCAGGGGGTTTATATTCAGTATATATACATTTTTCTTATTATACATACCTTGGAAAAAAATAAACAGTGCAAGAGCAAGATATGAGCTCTTGTAAATGCAAAGAAACAGCAATGTTTTTCCTTTGATATACTTGCAGTGTTTTATAGTTAGCCTAAAATCTTCATAATACACTACAGATAACAGAGGCTGTCACCTATTTTGTATATGTGAGAGTATTTCAGTTGTCCCAGCTGGGCTTAGAAAGAAAGAAAAATTTTGGCAATGAAGTTATGAGATATTTCCTAAGAAAAAGTTTAATTTAATACACACAGATAATACAAAATTAATCATGTACTGCTAGTTTTATTCAGCTTTTTGTGTGTTCTCTGAAAGTAATTTTTGTGATGGTGTCATTTTACAGATTCACAGGCAATAATGCTTAGTTGAATTTTTCTTCCTAGATTTCAAGAAGATGTTGAACTGTTCCTAAATGGATTTCCTTTCTTCTTATGCCCCATAAACTCTAGATGAAACAATATGTGGCCAGTGCTGATTAAACAGCTATTGGAGTGTGGAAACATTTGGAGTAGAAAGTATACAAAAAACTCATAATGTTGCAGGAGACATTTAATGAGTAGACTGGAGAACCTGCAATTACATATGTCATTGTAGTTGTGGACCACTTCATATGGCAAAAAGAGCTTGGAAATAGTCTTGCAAGTCTATAGGTCTCATTTGTGTCAGTATATTAACTTCCTTTTTACAGAAATATTATCAGCAGTTAGCTGGGGTATGCTTCCCAATATCCATAAGATAGTGATTTAAATGCCACTAATATTTAAACAAACCAAATTCAACCTTTGCATTCTGATATCTCCTCTTCAATAACTTGAAAGAGACAAAAGTAATCGCAGCACAATACTTAGCTGTCCAGGCACTGTAAAACTGTTGTGAGATTTAATACAAGTAAATTTCTCTGCTGTCGATGTGGATTTGAAGATGAGATAACTCAGGGAACACAGGACACAAGAAGATAGTATTCCTGCAGTTAGAGTTCTAGAGAGTCCTTGTGCATTTTTATTTTTTTTAAATCATATATTAGTATAATAATATAATCTCTTATACATACAGTATATATGAGATGATTGTTAAATTAAGAATAAAATAATTGAAGCCATTTATGTTATATTCACTATTATTCTTCAGAAATGCTTAACTTGATTCTCTTCTGTGTTTTTGTTGGTATTGTACCTTTGCATTATTTCAACATAAGCTGTCTGAAATTAAAACTGTTCAAAAAGACCCTATCACTTTTTTTCTCCATTATAAAACATTAGAAAATCTCTGTGGAGAGGAATGTTAACTATTTTAATATAGGAGTTTTGTCCATATTCAGACCAACTACTGGTGTAAGCTACTCATATAAGCAAAATTATAGTGGCACAAATCAAAAGCTTTTCTCACTGAATTTTTCTAACCTAGTTACTTCCTTTTATTGGGGAGCACTTCAATTCTTGTACAAAAGGCTCGATAACAGCATTCAGGCAAGTGAAAAAGTCAGGGCATCTATATGGTTAGGCAAAGGACCAGAGAAGCAAAGAGTCAAAGGAAACTCTTACAGTTAAAAGAAACTTCTGTATTACTACATAGCAGGGGAAGACTTTATGCTGGGATTTAGAAAGACAGTCTCTAACAAGATAAAACCAAAAATGTGGTCTTTGTCTCAAAATCTTTTAAAAAATATTTTAACACCTTACCATAAGTGAACTGCTATTTAACTCCATTTTTTTCAACTGGTACTCATGTCTCTGTCTTTGCTTTTCAGGTATAGAATATTAAGTTTGCTACTTTGAAAAGAAAAAAAAAATGGCTTCCAACATGGCAAACCCTGCTAACCATCTGCCATACTTCTTTGGCAACATTACACGTGAAGAAGCTGAGGAGTATTTGATGCAGGGAGGACTGAGTGATGGACTATACTTGCTCCGACAAAGCCGGAATTACCTGGGGGGCTTTGCCTTATCCTTAGCCCATGGAAGGAAGGTTCATCACTATACGATTGAGAGAGAGCTGAGTGGCTCATATGCTATTGCAGGAGGCAAGTCGCATGCCAGTCCTAACTATCACTCAGAGGAAGCAGATGGCCTTATCTGTCTACTGAGAAAGCCTTTCAACCGACCACCAGGTGTTGAACCCAAAACAGGACCCTTTGAAGATTTAAAAGAGAACCTCATCAGAGAGTATGTCAAACAAACTTGGAATTTGCAGGTAAATCCAGACTGATTCTGCCATAAGTGGTCTTTGAGTTAGGAGAAAAACAGATTGCAGTGTTTCTAGCCGTCGCTGCTGCTAGTATTTTTTTTCATAATGGAATCACAGCTGTTTGAGTTTTGAACAACGGGATTTTTTTTTTCCTCCAATACATGCAATAACTTGTCCGTAACTGTAGTTTTCTTGACATTTTACAAAAGCATAGGACTTGTCTTGGGCTGGCATAGCCTTATCTGCCATTGCACTAACCTGTGTCCTCAATTTTCACACTCACCAAAAATCAGTACATGTGATGAATAAGGTACAGAAATGGTTTGTTTGATTGCTTTTAATTCTGAATTTTAATGGATTGATGAGTGGGTGGACATGGTGACATGGTGACTTGTTTTACTTACTCCCCTCTTCTCCGGGCTTGTTTCTGTGATGCTTATTTAGAAAATGTCCAAAACACAAGTTGATTTCTTAACTGCAGAGCACTGCCTATACATGTACTACATGTGTCCAGCAGGATTGTTCCATGCTGCGGAAGACAGGATGGATTTTTTGCTCAGGTTTACTGTGAAGAAGGCAGTCTTAACATGGAAAAACTAGTGTAGGAGGCTGCAACAGGAATATTGTTTCACCTTGGTGAGCTGTGAGTTACTGTTAGGAACTCAGGGGGTTATCAAAGAGTCATAGAATGGTTTGAGTTGGAAAGGGCCTTAATGATCATCGAGTTCCAACTCCTGTGCCATGTGCAGGGACACCTCCCTGATGAACAGTCACTCTGCTTCTTTCCTGTAGGCCTACTTGAATCATCAGAAGGACACTGTGAGATCTCCCCAGAGCCTTCTCTTCTCCAGGCTGAACAGCCCCCACTCTCTTGGTTTGTCCTCTTGTGAGAGGTGCATCAGCTCCTGATTTACCGAGGCTCTCCTCTGGACTCGTTCCGAGAGTTCCATGTTTTTCTTATGTTTGGGGCCCCAGAGCTGAATGCAATAGTGCATGTGGTTCAGGTCTCACAAGAGCAGAATAAAGGGATAGAGTCGCCTTGCTTGATCTGCTGGCCACCCTTGTTTTGATGCAGCCTATGATGTGATTGGCTTTCGGGGCTGCGAGACCATGTGGGGTTTTTCATCTCTTTTGGCACTAACAAGTAACTCTGTGTGTTCTGCTCTGTGAAGTATGTTGAGCAAAGCCCAAACTGGAAAAAAACGAAAGCACCTGTACTCGGCACTGGTGAGGCCACACCTCGAGTATTGTGTCCAGTTTTGGTCACCCCAGTATAAGAGAAATATCGAGGTGCTGGAGCGAGTACAGAGGAGGGCAATGAAGCTGGTGAAGGGCCTGGAGAATAAATCCCATGAAAAACCATTGAAGGAATTGGGCCTGTTTAGTTTGAAGAGAAGGAGGCTAAGGGGAGACCTCCTCACTCTCTACAACTACTTGAAAGGACATTGTAGAGAGGTTGGTGCTGGTCTCTTCTCACACGTAATTAGTGATAGAATAAGAGGGAATGGCTTCAAACTGCAAGAGGGTAGGTTTAGACTGGACATGAGGAAAGAAATTTTCAGAGAAAGAGTAGTCAGACATTGGCATAGGCTGCCCTTGGAGGTGGTTGAGTCACCATCCCTGGATGTGTTTAGAGGTCATTTAGATGGGGTGTTGGGGGATATGGTTTAGGGGTGAGCTTTGTAGAGCAGGGTTAATGGTTGGACTTGATGATCCCAGGGGTCTTTTCCAACCTGAATGGTTCTGTGATTCTATGAAACTTACACTGCATTTATTAGAAGCGCTGAGACTTTCTTTTTTTTTTTTTCCTGGTGATTCTGTGCTCAATCTAGAAGGTCGTTGATGAAATAAGGTTGAAAACTGATGAAACTAGGGGGTTTTGTCCTCAGTTCTTGGCCCAGATGTAGAAGTGAGAGATTTTCAACGGATTTAGAAGTGTCTAGGTTATACCTAAGAGATTAACATGGTTCTCTCTAAAATTGAGGCTGTCCTATCTGCTTTTGGGAAAAGTTTGCATTGATGTCTTCAATGCAGACATGCTGCAACAGTGAAAAGCGTGTTCAGTTTTTTTCAGTAAACTGTCATAGCATATATAAGATGGAGTTATGTTGTGACATCTCAGATCGACACTAAGAATATTTTTAGCTATGTCTCATTAGCATAAAAATTTGACATAGTTTTCAGTTAAAGTACTGGTATAATAAGGGCTCAATGTACTGTTAGTTTTTCCTTTTGTTTCTCAGACATGAAGGAAGAATCCTAGCTTTGTGATGTTTAGATTACTGTATGTTAGTTTCTATTTTAATATCTTTATAGCAACCAGATCTTTACTTCACATACCACAAAGTTTTAGATGCCCCAAAGCGTAGGACTCATGTTTTTATTGCAGAAGACAGTTTAACTGTCCCACTGTGTTTTTACCACTCCCTAGGGGCATGCTCTTGAACAAGCTATCATTAGTCAAAAGCCTCAGTTGGAGAAGTTGATTGCCACTACAGCCCACGAGAAGATGCCGTGGTTCCATGGGAGGATCTCTCGGGAAGAGTCAGAGCACCGTATCCTCATTGGGTCAAGAAACAATGGAAAATTTCTGTGAGTGCTTTTTTCTATGGTATTGCTGTTTCCCACAAGTGTTACTACATGGTTCCCTTGAATAAATCTTGAATGAGAGAATGCCCCAAAAGATGACTTATTCACAGTGAGAAAGCCCAGTCTAGCAGGACACAATCATTCCCCTACTAAGCAAGTGTCTCCAAGATAGGCTTCCACCTAGCTAAAGATTGGGAAACTGTAGCAGAAGTGTGGTTCATTGTTTTTTTAACCAAATACTAGGTTTAATTCTAAAGGGAGCATCAGAGAAACTCAATACCAAGAAAAATGCTTTGAACTTTGCTTTACAACTAATACACAGTACTGAGTGACTGTGGTAGGTAAGCATTAGCCCATCAAGCTGCTGTCACACTCCCCCTCCTCAGCAGAACGGGATTGAAAAGCTTGTGGTTCAGGATGAAGACAGAGATATCATGTATTGCTAATTCTCATGGGCAAAGCAGTCTTCACTTGGGGAAAGGCAAATTAATTTATTGTCAATTAGAAGCAGGAGAGGGTGGGTGGTGGATGGGGGTCGCGGTGAGCCTGTGGCAGTTCCTCTCTGCTACTCCTTCCTTCTCACACTGCTTCCTGTTGCAACATGGGCTCTCCACAGGAAATATCCTTCAGGAAATATTCCTGGAAATATCCCAAAAGTATTCCTGAAATAACCTTAAGGCTCCACATGTGCAACCGTTAGGCCTGGCAGTGCCTGGCTGCAGGGGCCAGCCCAGCGCAGCCCTCGGCTGCCTCACTGAAACCCCTCAGCCCTGCCTGGTCGCCTGCAGCCCGTGTGCCAAAAAAATACATTTTTAGCAAAAAACACAAGCAGACTTCCTGTGTTAAAAATTGTTCAGATCTGTAACTTGTCAGTTTTCCTGTGGGCAGTGGTGGTGCTTTGTTCAAGTTAAGCAGCAGAAGGAATTGCTTTGACCTTGGTAGCTCCATTTTGTGTCTGCCGCTGCCTTCATTTACTCCGCCTTTTGAGTTCAGGTAGTGATAGTGACCAACAGCTGTCATCTCTTGAGGATTAGAGCCACTGAAAATCTTCTAGCAAAAAAAGCTTTGTGTTTGCAAAATCCTAATTTGAAAAAATGTTTTCACTGAGCTTTTTTTCACAACCCCCCAAACAGAAGTGTCTGTATGATGGTGGGAAATTAAGCTTAAAAGTTATGGCCAAGGAAGTGTAGTTTAGAGCTGTATAATTCCTGAGAGACATTTCATCACCTCACCTACCTATGTAGTCTCCTTCAGCTCTCAATATCTTTGATTTTTTAGAAAGTAATCCAAAGAAAAACCCCAGGAGTGAGGCTTCTTCAGTACCAACTCTTTCACTTTGCTGATTTGATGTAGTTTTGCCACGCTAATTGCTAATGTAGTAGATGTAAACTTCATGTTTCCATGTTTCTATCTTAATTGTCAGAATCAGTAGCTCCTAGATCTTTATTTCCAGTAGAGTTAATTCCTGTCGGGTCTTACCTACAAATACTGTGAGTGTACTGACATCTCATTTTTTGAAATCTCTTTCCTTCCCTCAGTCCTTGAATTGTTTCTGTTTCATGGACACTCCCACCCAAATCGCCATGCAACTTCACATTTGCAGCTGGGGGCTCCCTCCTTGGGATCACATCTAGGGGGTCATTTACTGTTGCTGCCATTTGTAACTAAAAAGTTGTTACAAATTTGTTACAAATTGCTACATTTGTAACAAAAGATTGTTGGGAAAGAGCCAAAGACTCCCCTCATCGCAGATTCTGAATGCCTCTTCCTATAGCATTAACATTACTCTCTTTTCTTCTTTGCACTGTAACTTCACTGTTTTTTTCCTTCTTTTAGACATAGGGCCATATGGACATGTAATGTGAAACAAAGCAGCAACACTTTTTTGTAATGACTTGTTTTTTTTCTAGAAAAATATTACTTTCTCTATTAACATCTTAAATCAATGTTATATCAACCGAGTCATGATGCTGATCATGCATTAAAGGTTGCAGCTTTTTCAGTTTATCTCTCACACACATTGTGTTTGATATGCTCGAAGTGTTTCTCTTTGGGGGAGAAAAGGGAAACTAACTTTTCTTTGACGAAATGGATCCCTTAGCTAACATTTCTTAACAACAGGGGTGGTCTTTGGAGTGAAGGAGTGTAATTTTTTTAGCAGACTTGACATTTTTAGTCTCTATTACAGACCCTGGTCTCTTTTTAATCTTCTACCACTCATTTGTCTGCTAACTGAAAAAGTGACAGCAAAATTGTGGAATGATAGAGAAGTGCATTTTTTTCAGGCATGGGTATTGCATACTTTTTCCTTACCCAGCAGCAGCATGTGTCAGAATCTTATGTGCATCTGTGGACTGAAGACTCTGAATTTGTGCTTGTGAATGTAGCAGTTCAGCGATGTTTTTCTCACACTGATCAAGACACCCAAGCCTTGTAGCTGACTGAAAGCTAAAATGTAGAACCATTTAATGTCTAAGAGAAGTTTGCTTGTTGAGATAGGAATTGGAATCTGTGAACACAGAGCAAAGCTAAATTTTAAAGAAGTTAAGGTACTCCAGCTGTTCTACAAGTCCACACGCAGGTGCTGGTAAATAACAAAAATCATCTTGTTTATTATGGAAAAAACAATACATTTTAGAAAGCTAGAATATTTCTATACATTCTTTTACAGGGGTGTCTAACACTTCTTTACACTAGAAATCTTCTGTCTGACCTACCTACCTTGAAACAAGATCCAGTACAGCAGTCTTTGTGAGAGCACATCTAATACCTGGTTTCCTTCAGTGTTGCTCTGCAGCACTACAAGATTATCAAGTCTAGTTTTGTGGGTTTTTTTAAAATACAATAAATATGGAAATGGTTGAAAAGCTTCCTGATGACAGTTGAAAATTTCATGAATAGCATCATAAATCTAACACTGCAACTCATCCACTGTGCTGAAAAAGTTCTGAGCTAAATGTGAGTGTTTTACTACGGTATTTTCACAGGTCTTTAAGTTTTCATCATGACTGAAAAATCAGTGACGTAAGTATGTATGTGAATGTTGACGAGATGTTTTCAAAGTAAAATATAGAAACAATGTCATGAAATGATGTGAGGTAGGAAGCAGTCCTCATCCCTTCTGGGAAGACTACCCATGAAAGATTGCCAGCCACAAAATTTAGAGGAAAAACTATAGCAATGGAATAGAAGGAAAATAGAAGTATCTCTAAAATGACCTGAAGAGCAGCTGTAAACAGAGAACTTTAAGTTTCAAGCCCATTAGCTTTGTTAACACTTCTTTACATGCTGTTTAGGATGCTGTAGTTCTTACCAGAATTTTGGTTTTTTATTAGACTTTACCGTGTAGGGGGCATAGCTGTAGAACGTGTTGATCAATGTTGCCTAGATGATCATAGATAATACTAATAGTAGTGTTATTAATATTTATTAATATGTATATTAATAAAATTAAATAATAAACATAATATTGTTAATATTATCTGTGTCACTGCATGCATGTGTGAACCAGTTGAAAAATAAGTTAAAAATTTACTAACAGTGACAGATGAACAGTGAAAGAAATGCTAGTTTTCTCTGCATTTTCAGATAGGAAACAACTCTGGTAAGTGTGTGGTAGATTTTGGCACATCTTAATTTGTCATGAGTAGTGACCACTTCAGTTATAGGAACCTGTGATCTTGCATATGTGTTAAGAGTGTGAAGTTCTGGAGGGAGATAAACAATATTCAGAAATACTGTTAAAATTAAAAAATCAACATCAAGGAAGTTGTGAATGAAGGCATTGTGTGATTAACAGTTTAGTCTCTACAAATCTTTTATATGGTTCATATCCTTACGTAGTTCACCTAAAATGTGGACAGTTGTGTAAAAGGAAAGTAAAAAATAATTTTAGTATCAGAAGAATGTCTTCAATGTGTGACAAGATATGCTAAAGAGGACAAGACTAGTTTAGACTATTAGAATGACTCACAGCACTACTCATCGTGCCATCTCATGACATCTAGAGACTAAGCTGTCTCTTATATGTTGCAACAATTAACACTGGTAACATCATTTCAAAATAACGAGTTTTGAAGTGCCCTTGTCCATAATAGCTTTCTTGTGTTTTGTCTGACCAAAAGCTTGTGTTTCTGATGTATATAACACTCTATATTTACATTACTCTTACTTTCTTCCTCTACAAATTTACCACTGCTAGAATGCCTGTGGAAGTAAATGATTTATCTGGCCTTGTACTCTTTAAATAAGTCTATAAGCATTATGTTTGTATCCATAAATAGAACTGGACATCGTTGACATCAGACAAGGTGAAAGCAGTCCTGCTAAACAAGACCTTAACTCAGGGATATGAATTAATGATGAAGTTCCTCTTCAAAATGCCAAACAGTTGCTAGGCTTAGAAGACTGTGAAATTTCTCCAAGATAAATGATGAAATACAGACATTGAACCATATTTCTGGAAATGCTGTGTTCCCCACCACAGTACCTTGGATGATGCCCACAGCTCTCCGGGAGAGCTGTTTCCTGATCTTCAGACTTGCAGACCTCTGCAGCAGGTTACCTCTCCAGGCTAGCTATGCTGTGTTCTTCAGCAGCAGCGTGGGTCAGAGGTGTGAAGAAAAGATGTGATCTCTGGCTGAGATAGCTGCACTGAGAAGATCCCCCACTGAAGGTGCAGTTATACAACAAAGCTATTTGTTAGGGTTTTGTTGGAGCACAGTGTGGTTCGCTGGCAGGGCAATACCAGCAGCATAGACTGTGGCAGTGCAGTCTTTCTCACAAAGGTGTCTCGTGAGTGTGCGGCACATCACAGGACCTATATGGGGACATGAATTTTTAGGTTGCATTGTGGACACGAGTAGTGTGTGGCTGAGCTACCTCTTGAATTCTGTAATGTGCTGACATTTCTGAAGCAGCTTTGAATGTGTTACTAAGCAAGGGAGAGGAAATTATGTAAATAAAGACTGCAGTCAATCCATTTTTCCCCTTGCGTGATCCCTTTACGGATGGCACCAAGTTCATTCTTTATTGCCCTCCAACTTGCAACATGTACAGTGTGCTGCAGACGTTTGAAGCACTAATGAATAGCCATGTTGTTAATAACATTACGAAGGAGATGGTCATTAGGGGAGACAAGCGGGGAATGACTGGAGCTTGATCAGCAGTGGGGAATGTCAGCATCTGTGGCATCAAGGAAGCTGTTATCGCTGAGAAGGCAAAGCAAGGGCAAGAACACACTTTAACACACCCTTGAATTCAAGACTGAGAATAATTTCACACTATTCCTAAAGCAAACATTTTGCTAGTTTATTTCCTTCTTTATTATCCACAGTAGACTGCTGTGACTTCTTTTTTTCTGCACAGTCAATGAGGCATATTGTAATAGCAATTTATTTTTTTTACCCTTGGGGATTTTTTCCTTTAGAAAGAAGGGAATCGTTTGGCTTTTCACTTGGAAGCAGAAAAAATTGGGATGTTATTCTTTTTGTTTCCAGGCAAAAAATAGAGGCTTTGCCAAAGGAGAGGTATCTATTTACACAGTCTGTAATGATACTCTAAATGGATTGGTTGCTATTTGGGTTATGTACACAAAACCATAAAAAAATACTCAACATAAACTGCATGAAAACTAAAATCAATAACAAAGCCTTCTTTATGTTGCATCATGTAATAATTTGAGTTTCTCAGTTCCTTCTAAAATTACTGTTTTAAAATGTGTCTTAGAAAATCTAGATGCCTTGGTGTGGTGCTTCTCTAATACATCTCTGAATTCAAATTTGCTCAGTGAAGTTGTTTGTGTTTATGATTAATCTTGACAGAAAAAAGGATGATATTGTTTAAATATGGGGAGGATTTATGATTTTCTTCTCTGTATCTGTAGTTCACAGCATTGGCATGAAATGGAAGACCAGGTGATATTTCACTTCTGGCTTCCTTCCTTCCCAAAATGCTTTAAAAAAAGAAATACAGCTTGTTAAAATGAAGGGAATTTTTGTTACCAGTTTGTATTAAAGAACAGTAAATATTGTGTGCAATTTCAGAGCGTATTAAAGCAGATAGTGTGTTTGGGATTTTGGTTTTTTTCTCAAAATTCTGAAAATTGCTTTTCAGTGAAAGAAAGTTCCATATTTGAAGAGAGCCCCCAGATCTAATGTGACAGCCCTGAACAGTACATGCAGTGTCATCAAGATGTGAAAACATTTATTTCTGTTTGAAGAGTTTTCAGTTTATAACCTCGCAGTCTGAGCAGCTTTGATTCCATTTTTTATGGGAACTGTTAAGGTACTGGATGCTGTGTACTCAGCCTAACCTACACAGTCATTATCACAGGCTGCAAAACCAAAATGAAGTCATACAGTGTGTCCTGTGACAATCCTTGTCACCACAGGCAGTAATAGTGTTTGTTTTGGACTGTGATGGTGAGTTCTGCGAGAGCACTTTTTGGACCAATAAGGGATCTGGTTCAAAAAACTGAGACTTAGGCCACCGTATAGCTGCTGCTTCAGTGCTCTTAATACTTGTGCTCTTCAGACATGTTTTAGAAGATAGCAGTACCTCCTGCAGCGATCCAGCTTTTGCTGGAATGGGCTGGCTACAGTCTGAGAAACGGGTAGACCCAAAGAGGATGAGGGTCCTTCTGGACCATCGTCAATCTTAAGTGTGAGAATGGAGATTTTTTGCATATACAGTGATAGAGCTGTCTGACAGAAGTTGCTATGACTGTGAACTGCAGATGTCTTCAGAGTTACCTGTCTGCTGAGTTGAGGGAAGGGAAATCTCAGGAATGCAACTACAGCCTTATAAACCTGTCTAAATCCTGCACGAGATACTGATAGGGCTGCTTGGATCTCTCCTTAGAAATCAAGTCTCTCTCTTCCCATGGATGACTGTGCTCTCAAGAAATGTTTATGATGCTTCTCATGATAGCAACAACTCTTGCAAATGAGAATCAATTTCAGTAGGGCTAATTTGGTTGGATCCACCATTTCTTCATGTGAAATACAAAGGGTATTGATCACTGGCAAGCAATCCACTGCATTTTAATAATCTTACTTGTGGTTTATTCTGAACAGAAGACTGAACACAATAAATGCTATACATTTGTGATTTAGCAGTAATTCCTACTATTCTGAAGCCTTACTTGCTAAGACCAAGTCAGAGAAAGACAAAGTAAAAGTCATTCTTCATTTCAGCAGAATCTATCTCCACTGGTCAGTCAGCACAGGAAATCAGCATGCTGTGAAAATACCGACATGTCTTGAGAAACCACAAAGTGTTTCAGGTTGTTTTAGAGACACTAGGCAAGTTAGTTTGGTTTCAGAAAAAAACTCTGACCCTGCTTCCCTTTTCCTTTAAACAATGTTCTATTCACATTTTAGGCAACAAGAATCACTCCTCTTGAAAAAAAAATAGTTACATGAGTAGTTTGGAGAAAATGGTTTTAGTTCAGCCTTGAGTCAGTTGGCTGAGGAGCAGAATTTAATGCTTGCCTCTGAAATCTTCTGAGATGCGATAGTGTTGCTCCAGCAAAGTTTCCCAACACCTCAGTGAGCTTATCCTCCTATATTTCTTTTCAGCACTTTTGAAAAATTCAAGGGAGAGTTATTAGATTTCTGTGGACATTGGAATAAGAAATGTGTCAATGTTTTTGAATCTGGGTTTTTCATAAGAAAAAACAGTCATTCCAGAAAATTTTAATCTAGTTCTATTGTAGTCTTACTGTCAGCAGCAAGTGAACACAGGCAGCTCAAACTAAAAGAAAAAGCCTGCTTTCTAAACTCAGAAATGATACACCAGCTATGACAGAGCTAGTAGCAAATTCCTGTCTACTCTGGGTCCAGTCACCAGAAGACACTGATCTGAGTGTGAGCTAGCCTTGAGTACACAGAAAAGAACTCTGCAAAACTTCACAGGCATCTCAAATGTTGCTGGCAGATCTCCTGCAAGAAGGAGATCATCCTGGCTACCTATGGATTTTAAGCGATGTTTTAATATTAACTTCTGTGATGTCTCCCTGGTCAACTTTAGACCAGATGTATACCTCAATACCTTGTGAAATTTCATGTGAATTTTATGTGAAATCTGCAACAAAGAATTAACATATTTACAGAAATTTAAGAATTATTAATTACAGAAGTGTATGATTTACTTTAAATTCCCAACCAGACAGCAAGCTGTTTCAGTGCATAAAGATTTCCCCCATATTTGTATCTCACATTGTGTTCTTTTAGTATTTTATATTCTGCCCTGATTGTCATCTCTTTATTTCAAAATAAAAGATATGAGAGAAGTCTTACTTAAGTGAAGGCACTTATCTATTGTTTTTAATTTTAGGTCAGCTGTAGAGGAGATTGGATTATGACTGCTTGTATACGCAGGACGCTGCCCTCAGACTTCCATAGGCTTTGTAGGTCTGCAATGCACGCACAGGCTTTCAAATGTTTCCTTGATGAGAGAGCGCTTTGTACACTGCATGGTGGTCTGTAGCTGCCTAGCAAAGAGCTCCACATGGTGGATTTTCTATTATCTGTTACCTTTTGAGGAAAATTAAAGACTAAAATTGGGGAATTCTATCTTAAAAGAGACTAAGAAATAAATGACTTAACAAAATGTCTTCAGAAGTTGCATGCTGATTTTGCTTTGTTTTTAAATTCAAAAGCATAATGGAAAGGATGATTTTGAAAAAGAATTTCAACCCAGGTGCTCATTCCTATTAAAACGTAACTCTGAAAATCTCCTTTATTCCTACAGTATCCGAGAAAGGGATGGCAATGGTTCCTATGCCCTGTGTCTGCTGAATGATGGAAAAGTACTGCATTACCGTATTGACAGAGATAAGACAGGAAAGCTCTCCATACCGGATGGAAAAAAATTTGACACCCTCTGGCAGGTCTGTTAAATTTGAATCACTTTGATATCTGTCATCATGTTTCCATATAACTAAGGCAACTTGTTTCACTTTGCTGTGTGACAACAATCTTTAGGTAAACAGCAGGTTATTTGTCATTTATTTCACACTTTATGTGTTTTCTATATGCGAAGAAAATGTATGTTAATGTAGAAAGCTATGTAAGTGTGGAGTCATTTTTACATGTGCTGTTGCAGCTTGGCCATGTTCAAAATTACTGTAATTATTATTCAGTTAACTAAATGTTCTTTAGAATAGGTGACTGTTTGCATTTGCAAGTGACCACTTTCTGTAATAGCTATGCTAGGTATGGTCTTTTGTTAATGTTCTTTATGACAGCAATGAACAGATTTTTAGGAAGTACACAAACATATCTAGGATGCTGTACACATCCTGCATTCTTTAGTTTTGACATTCTCTACCTTCAAGGCTGAAAGTGCACAGTTAGCTGAGGGTTATGTTATTACTACCAAAATATGTCTGAACCCCGGTAAAGAGAAAGCAAATAAGGAATACATAGTTGACTATTCCATAGTCAATCATAAAGCTGAACACTGGAGAAGTAACTGGGAAAATTGAAAATGCTGAAGTAATTGAAATCCATGCAGAAGTCTCTTTTGTCCTCTTACTTAAAATTCTATTAAAACAAGTGAATCACAAATTTAAAATATGAGTCTTTACTTGCATGTATTAGTTCTTAGCCTGTAAATGTCCTGCATATTTCTTTCCTGGAGTCACTGCTATGCTATATCACAAGTGTTTTGAATATATCTTCAACTTTTTCTCTCACAGACCCCTCTCGTTTCTACCCAAATGCATCAAAGCCAAAGTAACAGTACTGAAACTGTAATAAAATGACATTGAGAGGACAATCCCGGAACAAAAATGGCCATAACTATGTATGAGCATTTGAGCAACCTTTTCTAGTGGGAGGTGTTCCTGCCCATAGCAGAGGGCTTGAACTAGATGATCTTTAAGGTGCCTTCCAACCCAAACCAGTCTATGATTCTATGAGTGTGATTAGCACTACACATTTATTAACTGCTTACATCCCATTGTGACTTTGAGGTTTTGGTGGTTTGACCCTGGCTGGCACCCAGGTACGCCCACTGCCACTCTTACCACCCCCAATTCTCTGCTAGACAGGGGGAGAAAATATAATGAAGGGCCCATGGTTTGAGACAATGACAGGGAGATCACCCACATCTACAGTCCCAGGCAAAACAGACTCGATCTTGGGGAAATCAGTTAAGTTTATTGAAGAACACATCAGAGAAGAGTAGTGAGAAATAAAAAAGATCTTAAAAAAGTAACACCTTCTCCCCATCCATCCCTTCTTCCTGGGCTTAACATCAATCCCAATTTATCCCTCCCTCCTTCCCTGAGCAGCACAGAAGGGTAGGCAATGGGGGCTACAGTCAGTTCATCTGATGTCATTTCCACCGCTGCCTCTGCCTCTGGGGAAGGACTCCTCAATTTTACCCTGGGCCATTGCGAGGTCTCTCTCATGGGACATGATCTTCGCACACGTTTCTACAATGTGAGTCCTCTTACAAGGGACAATTCGTTACAAACTGCCCCAACATGAGTCTCTCCATGGGGTGCAGTCCTTCAGGGCAAACTGCTCCAGCGCGAGTCCCTCACAGCATCACACAAGTCCTGCCAGCCAACCTGCTCCTGCGTGGGCCTTTCTCTCTCAGCTGGCTACAGATCCTGGCAGGAACCTGCTTCAGCACGGGCTTCCCATGGGGCTATGTCCCCCTTCAGGCATCCATCTGCTCTGGTGTGGGATCCTCCACAGACTGCAGGTGGACATCTACACCCTGTCACCTCCATGGGCTGCAGGGGGACAGCCTCCCTCACTGTGGTCTTCACCATGACACAGGGGACTCTCTGCTTCAGTGCCTAGAGCATTTCTTCCCCACACCTTTCTTCATTGACCTTGGTGTCTTCACATATTCTCACCCCTCTGTCTCTTTGCCAGTCATTTTGTGGCACATTACATTTTTTTCCCCTCTTCTTAAATACGTTTTCACAGCAGTGTTCCTATCCTGTTATTACTGACAGGCTCAGCATTGGCCAGCAGCGGGTCCCTCTTCGGAGCCGGCTGACTTTATCAGACCTGGGGAAGCTTCTAGCAGCTTCTTGCAGAAGCCACCCCTACAGCCCCACCACCACTGAAATCTGGCCAGGCAAACACAGTGCAGAGATCCAGAGAAAGCATTGCCCATCAGCAAAATTCCTGCACTATAGTAATACCCTTCCTGGTGAGGAAGGAGAAAAAAACCAAAACAAAACAAAAAAGAGCGTGGAAACTCAGAGGTATAAGAGCAAGTGATTTATTCAGTTAGAAAGCTGGTTAGCAGCAAAACTGTGTATGGAATGCTGAGTCTTACAAATCTAGTTCCTTGATAAGATTCCAGATTCATTCACGAGGTTACTTCAGAAACAGTCATCCCTGCTAAAGGAAAGTAAAGATGGGGTAAGAACATGTTGAGTAAAGATCTGCTCTATGCCCAGTTCATTTGCTGTAATGTATACCGATTATTGTACTTATGCATACAATTTTAAAGAGACAATATGTTTAATTATACCTCCCTTACCTTTTCATATTTTTTCGCTCCTTTCTCTCTATTTTTTTTTTAACTTCTCATTCTGGTAGTTAGTTGAGCATTATTCATACAAACCAGATGGATTATTAAGGATTCTTACCATTCCCTGTCCACAACTTGGCTCAGAAAATGGTGAGTTATTCCTATTATTTTGAGATTTATAAATAACCATGCTAATGATGATAAAGATGTGTGCGTTTTTTCCACTTGCCATGTAGGTGGGTGCAGATAATAGTAGATTAAAGTTGTGTAAAAAAATTTAAATTGTTATATTTCCAACTTCCCAAATGAGTTAATATCTGCCAAACCTTGCAGGATGTAGTCAGATCCTGTAGCTTGAGGGAGGCTACTAACTCCAGTTATTGCTGACTCCTAATTAATGTCCAATCCAAAATGTACTTTGCTGCTCGAAGTGGCAGGGTGTGTTACCTGGTGCGCACACAAACTAACAAGGTGGTCATCTCAACATTCCTCCAGCAGTCACTACTCCAGGCTGAGACCTGGAGGAAATGGGGCTTGGAGAGGCATTCCATGATACCTTAGGGGAAGGTGTAGGGGATAGTGTCCTGATGTCCGGTATGCTTTTTGTCCTGTTTCTTTAATGTGGTGTTAAATACCAGTGAAGCCTTGTCTTCCCTCTTGCCCCGATTGCTAAGGGAAGAAAGATGCTTCTGTCTCATCCTTGTCTAACTCATGCTACTCCAGAAGTGGTATTCTCTCTCCAAGGCCTTCTTCTGTCATTCTGACTAGGTACCAGTGCCGTGTTGAGATGATATGCCCATAGGTTTTCCTCTCCTTCGAATCATTTAGGAACCACACATACTTTTGTCTGTATGGCAGCAACTTCCAGAGTCTTCTGCATGTAAAGGAAAGAGGATGAATCAGGAAAAACACTGCAGTGTGGTTTAAAAACTAGAAAGTTGGTCCCCTTTGTAAAGTTTTGTGTTCTTACAGTACATTTCTCACCTTGCTCACGATCCTTCTACATTTGATTCTTTTACAGATAATGTTTTTAACACTCGTCCTCCTCTTCCTGGAACTCCTTCTACGGTAAGAGTAGGTGGTGATATAGCAGTAGCCTTTGCTTGAGAAGGCTTACAGTCACATACTGCTCTAGGAATCGTAACACCTGGATATTTCTGCAGCTGTTTTACTAGGGATATTAGCAGTAAGTTGAAAAAAAAAAAGCTTAGTATATTCTACCATTGTTACTGCTTTCATCAGTGTTTTGCATGAGATATTCATCAACTAATTTTATGAACTCTTTTTATACATAAAACGTATGTGAAAATCAGTATTTTTCATATGCAAAATACCTCATTGGTAGGCATATTCTGTGGTGACTGTATCAACACTAGTAGGAGAGATACTGCTTTTTTTACATCGTCCATTTTGAGAATCTGCTGACTGAAGCAGAAATGGAGGTTCTCTTTACTTCTGTATTTGGTGTGTGCCGTTAACATCAGACTTTGCACAAGCATTTGATTCCTTGCACAGCGAAATTAAACGAAAATCTTTCATCAACTCCATGAATAGTGAGCAAGCCCATCTGTGATTGTAATTGCCTAAGTTCTCAGAGTCCATTGGTTAGAGGAGCCACCTGAGGTGTGATACATAACACCATCTCATTCAGTTGCGGTTGATCTCATCTGGAATAGGGAGTTTAATTTAGTTGCTTCACCACTCCCTGGAGAGCCTAATCATCTAGGTCATTATCTTGATGCAGACCCACATTACAGAAAAAATACTTTTGTTCAAAAAGGCAATTGCATTTATTTCACTGCTATTGAATCCCTGTGGGTCCATGATCAACCATTCTCGTACTATCACTCTGAAAGTCAGGTGCCCTTTTAAATCACTGTAAATTATGCAATCAAAATTGGTGCCTTTTTTTAGAAATGTTGTCCTGAGATTTGGATCTGTGCCATTTGCAAGGACAATTGTGAAGTTTAAACACGTGAGACCACATGTATATAGTCTAGTGTATGTGCAATTATAGTGGTGGATCCGCATTCGGTGTGGGAATGCTATATGGGTTTCAGATGATCCACAGGAAATTTTGTAGTTCAAGTGTAAATGAAAGTAAATTCAAGAAATCTTACTTTAAGTATTTAACCTAGCAAAGAAATAGTAACAAAAAATATGTGTATTTGACTAAGATGACTGATATTTAGGACTGTGTTATGAGAGTGAATGGGCAAACCTCTCTTCTTCTCATTAGCGCGTTGCAGTAATACTACCCTGGTTGTTCATGACGCTTTACAGGTGAAAGACTTGGTCATGCTAACAGGATATGAATAATCTTGCCTAGCATTAATGAACTCAGATGAAAAGCCAGCCATTCATCAGATCGCAGTCTTGCTTTTGAGGTATTTTGAACCAAGAGAGAGACACATACCTGTCCACATGTCACTTCAGCTTAAAAGTGGTGGAATGACTTTCCACCAATATGTGCCTATGTCTTTCCACTCAGAAGGGGCCTAGGTGGTGAGTCAAAGACTATATGCCTTGCTTTTAGGTAGCCATAGTTAGATTAATTCCATCCTTGAATGTGTACTTCTCTGGCAAGTAGCTGACTTAAATACACTAGATCGCATGGACATTTTACATACAACCATTCATATTTGATCAGTAGTAGTTACATTTAAGACTCATCATGATGGATAGAAGGAAAAGCAACAAAGATATGAGATGTGTTGAGTGCATATTTTGCAAACACCCTGCTAAAATGCTGTTTAAAGTTATGAGGTTTGACATTATGAACTACGTAAAACTGAAATCTGAATTTTGTGTTTTCTTTAGAAGTTTTATAAAACCAGCCTGCTAAGTTACTTTTCTGTAGTATAAACACAAAGATGGAAATTGGGAAATATTAAATTAGTATTTCTATTTATGGAGCTCAAAGATTTCAGTTAATATTGACAGGATCTCATACATTAATATCTTTGCACAAAAGCAATAACTCACTGAAGACCACTCATGTTAGGTTTTTTTATATGTGGAACCTGAAATACAGTTAATTCAGTCTGCAAAACCAAAAATGTATCCTGAAAAGAACAAATACAAACACTAAGTCTTTTGTAGAAGATGTGCAATCTACCTTTGCATTTTTTACACCATCATAGTTAAGATTTTAGTTTGAGTTTCTCCTCCTTGACTTTGTAAATTATTTTTTTATTCCCTGCACATCATCACAATAAATCTTCAGAGGAGATTTTAACAGAAGCCTAAAATCAGCTGCTGACACTACAGTGAGGCTACCAACTTCTCACAATTTCCCAAATTCTCCACTTAACCTTCTTCAGTACTTTCTTTCTTTAGCCACAATTTATCAGATGGTAATAATAAATCTAAATCTTATGAGTACAGCCTATCTTTAGACTAGTACTGTTGCTGTCCCTGATTAAGTATTCCTCTTAGCATGCATTTATGTGTTAACACTTAAGTTAAGCAGTATTAACATCAAGGCAGTACAGGTGGCTGCTTGGTCAAGTGCTGAGAGCTACTCTTGTCAGAAAAGTGTAACGAACCATATTCAACATGTGCAAAAGAGCCCTTAACCTTTTAGAGAATTTATCTGTTGCAAAACGGAAGAGATACTTCAGGTTTAATTTACTCCAAAGAGAAAATTTACTCCAAGGAGAATTTTGTAAGGTGAAAGAAAATAGTGGACTCAGTAAGATTTTTCAGTATGCAGTAGCTGAATTTTAATGTATTACAGCTATTAAGACTGTCAAACATCAAAAAAGTTTCTGTTTTTCCAGAAGTAATAACAACTATATGGCTATCCTTGGTGTTTTGAAAAAAAAAATACACCTTTTTTATGTGAAATCAAACTTCTTTTTTTTTAAAAAAAAAAAAAGAAAGAAAGCTAGGATAGTTGCCAACCCCTATCCATGATAAAAGATACCTTTTCAGAAAAACAAAAAAAGAAAAAAAGTCCCAGTGGGTTATTTAAAAGTTCAGAATGTCTAAACTGTAAGTATTATATTGCAGTTTTAATTAATCTGATATGATCTTTAGCTACCACTAGAAATGCTAATTTGTCATGTTTAGTGAAATTAATCTATTATTGTAAAAGTTACTTGCACTTCTTTTGAAAGTATCCTTATTCAGAACATTAACGCACATGTAAAATCTAAAGCCTGTTCATTTTTGTTTGGAATTAATATCTGTTTGTGTGCTTTTTGTTTCAATAACTGCAATGTTTGTTCTAAGACCAAGATGTGCTTTGAATCTTCATTGGTGCATTAGTCTTCAGGACGCTACCCTTAGCAACTGATTTACGTTGCTGATTATGTTGGGACATGGGTAAAGTTCTGTAACAGAGGCAGGATAAACACACTGTGTCAGATATCTGGGGAGAGGGCAATATGCTTGAATTTAAAAACTACCTTAAGGTATATATACAGATTCAAGATGGTTTAATACATTTGAGAGAAAATTTATTCCTAAGATTTCCCATACTACATTTGTTTGATCCATCATATCTGTACTTGCAGGCACACAGAAGAAAAAGATTGAGAGTGTTTTGTTCTTGTATACTATGTCTGTTTTGCAAAATACCATTAGCAATTTTCCTGACACATTTACTGTTCCTCTTTGACATTGCGGTTTCTAGAGTTGGGCAGGAGGTGGAATTATCTCAAGACTCAAATCGTACACCTTTCCAAAGGCTGGCAGCAAAAAGGTGCCTCATAGTATTTTTAGGTTTTTGACTGAGTTAAAAGGACTTACACTTGACTAATTTAATTCCTTTTTTTCCCCCTTTTTTTGGCTTGCTCTTACTAAATGTGCGTCTTGGCTACTAACAATGAGATTGTGAAGATTTTGTAAGCTTTCTGCTTCTTTCCTAATCACCTGCATAACTGTGGCCTTGATTTTGTAACTAAAGCAATGCTTTTAAAGAAGTTTTAAAAATTGAGGGACTATTTATAAGTAAATTCTCACATCTCAACATATTAATGCAGATCTCAACATGTCTGCAAATAAAATGTGATGAAATGTTTTTCGAAAAACAGATACTTACAGCAGAATAAAATGGTATTTCTACTCTGAACTACCATTCCTAATCAGAAAATTGGTTTGCTTACTCAATGCTATTGCTGAGTATATTTAGGGAACAATTTGTTAATGACAATCACAGAATATATTCTTACAGAATTTGTGTGCACAAATCTTGTTATGCATTGATGTTAATTACATTTGGGCAAGTGTTAGATTTGGGCAAGTGTCACAAGACCAAGCAGAATAGGAAGAGTGATGTCAGGGAGTCAAGGGGAGACCAGACTTGTACTAGTGAAAATGTTGCTGCATGACCAGAAAATTATCCTGTCCGGTAATCAATGTAGTTGTGAAATATGTGGTTACAAGCTTTGTTTGCATGCTGAGAATAACATGTGTGTCCCTCTTCCACCCATGAGTCTCTCATTTTATTTATTTATTTCAAGTTACTCTTCAACAAAAATGAGCAGGCATAAAAGGCCCTAGAGGTACGCTGCTGTTCAGAGTGAAAAAAAAAATGTTTGATGTAAACCGGTTTTGACAATTCTGACAAGTGACAATTATTATTTTTTTTATGACTTTAAATCACTTTTATACTGAAGTACCAATAGCTGTTGTTACCTGTATACAGATGCATGTCTCATTTTTAATGTGCTGTCGTCTTCTACAACTACACATACGGTGTCAGGGCATGTTGTAAAGCCATCTGAAAAAAAATACCATACAATCACACATTAATATTTTGGTTGTATTCAGAAAAGTGAGTGAGGGGTCTGAATTCTCCAGAGATGGCTTTGGTCCCTCTGATGTCTGGTTACTTGATAAAACCTGTGCTTCCCTTTGGTTGCTCTCTGCAGTCAAATCCCTATTTCCTGCCTTCTGGGAAACATGCACAGAGTACAGACTGAAGTATATTGACAGAGAGAGACCAATCGTTTAAGAAAATAATTTCAGAAACCTGATTCTACCACAATTTACATGTACTTAACCCTGAATACTTGAACCAACAAATTGCATCATACAGCCAAATCTTAGACTACACAAAA